GCTTTCAACTTAATTTTTAAGAAGTGTGCAAAATTTGAATTAAGATCAAAAGTTTATTCATTAGTTATTGAGATTTAAATCTATTATAGAAATTACTAGAATTTGGTTAGGGATTGGTTTAGGGTTTAGAGTTTGGTTAGGATTTGATTTAGGATTTAGGGTTTGGTTTAGGATTTGGTTGGAATTTTATTTAGGATTTGATTAGGGTTTGATTTAGGATTTAGGATTTGATTTAGGATTTGATTAGGATTTGGTTTAGGATTTGATTAGGATTTAGTTTAGAATTTGATTAGAATTTAGTTTAGGATTTGTTTAGGATTTGATTTAGAATTTAGTTAGGATTTGGTTTATGGTTCAGGATTTGGTTAGGATTTGGTTTAGGTTTAGGATTTGATTTAGGATTTAAAATTTGGTTAGGATTTGATTCAGAGTTAGGATTTGATTAGGATTTGATTTAGGATTTAAGATTTAGGATTTGGTTGGAATTTGGATTAAGATTTAGAGTTTGATTTAGGATTTAGGATTTGGTTGGGGTGTGGTTTAGGATTTGTTTAGGATTTAGGATTTGTTTAGGGTTTGGTTTAGGGTTTAGGATTTGGTTAGGATTTGGTTTAGGATTTAGGATTTGGTTTAGAATTTAGGGTTTGATTTAGGATTTAAGATTTTATTAGGGTTTATTTAGGATTTAAGATTTAATTAGTTTTGACCTAAAGTTTGAATGAAGTTCTATAGGATTTTAACTAGGATTAAAATAAGATTGAATTGAGGTGTATTTGAGAGATATTTGTGATCATTCTAATATTTCTTTAAGAGTTCTTAATATTTCTTTGAAATTTCTTTGAAGTTTCTTTGAATTTGATTAAAGCTTGCTTAGCATTATTATGGTCTAATTAGAGCATTGTTAGTATTTTATTAGAATTAGGATTTTTTTGTTGCAATTTCCATTCTACCTTCCAGAGCCAAGTGCCCGGAGCATTCTCAAGCAAGACTTCACGTATTACGACAATGTGGCCTCTTTGTTGGCTAAGTTTTCAACCTACCAATCACTTATAGACATGTATAAAGATAAAATAATATCTATGAAGCTTCTAAGAAGCTTTTCATAAGATATTATCATATTTATCTACTTTGACTTACTTCTACATATTCTTATTATCTTGATAATTATCTAGATAAATATGTATGTCCGTGACACATTGTACTTATTAACTTCTATAAATGATACCAATCCAAAAGCAATTATGGTCTTTAATATCAATGGATTTTATCATTGATCTATTGCCATCAGCTATATTTGATTCTATCTACATTATTATAGATTAGCTTACAAAAATGGCACATTTTGTTCCATACAAAAAGGTAATTTTTGAAAAAAAAAATGGCAAGGCTCTTTTTTGATAATATATATTGACATCATGGCTTATTTGATAATATCATTTTTGGTAGAAGATCTTAATTTATATCAAAGTTTTGAAGAAAAAAAAAATAAGATATTAAAGGTAGATATCAAATCTTCATATGCTTTTCATCCTCAAATAAATGATCAAACAAAGCAAGTGAATCAAATTTTGGAGCAATATTTATAATGTATCATAATTATCAAGAAGTAGATTGGACCTCATATTTATCTTTAATAAAGTTTTCTTATAATAATATTCTTCATACTTTGATTTAGTAAACATCATTTATTCTAATTATCATTACCATCCAAAGCTTGATTTATTAATTATATCAAAGGATGAAAATCTAGGAGTTGAAGATCTTGCAAAATAATTGTCATAGCTCTAAATAACTTTGAAGCTTCATTTACAAGCAATTCAAGATTCTTATAAAGCATCTTTAAACAAATTTAGAAAAAAATCTCCTACTTTTCAAGTTGGAGATAAAATATGGCTAATTTGATAAAAATATCAAGACCAATCAGCCTTGTAATAAGTTAGACTACCAAAAATTGAGGCCATTTTGTATTCAAAAGCAAATCAATCTAATGGCTTATTAGTTGGAACTACCGACATCTATAAAGGTACATCCATTCTTTCATATTTTTTTCTTAGAATATTATTAAAAATCAACCATTCCAAGAAAAATACAACCATCATTGTCTTGCATTGAAATAGATAATCATGTAGAATACGAGATAAAAAAAATTCTTAATTCTCAAAAAAGAAGAGAGAAATTAAAGTATTTTATTCATTGGTATAGCTATGATATTAATAAACATATACATCCTAAACTCTAAACCCTAAACCTAAATCTAAAATCCTTAACATGTTTAATTAAATTCTTATAAGCTTTTATGTTAAAACTTTTTGATTCAACTTCTTTTTTGGTTTCATATATAGTGTATCTATGACACTATCCTTGTTTGTAGTTTTTATGTATTTGTAGTGCTAAGAAAATAGAGAATCAACAACTAAAAAATTTAACTCAAGAGCTATCGTTTGCTGACTTATTAAACAACACATTACAATTGTCATATCTTTTAAGACAATGTAATAGAGATCCTTAAGAATGACATGTTCTCTTTTGAATAGATGGCAAGATATAATGCATTTGGTATCATGACATTAAAAAAGATCCTTGATGTTTGATGATTTTATTAGAGAAAGAAACAACTCTTGATGGAATTCCAAATATTTTATTTGAAAGGAGTTATAAAAGCCTCTAATCAAATAATAGAAGAATATTTTTTTCCTAATATAGAATATTATTAATAGCTAAGAAGATATATTAACTACCTATAAATAAGAAAAAAGATTAGGATATGTAACAAATACAATTTTCTACATCTTGAACTTCCTCAATAATTATTCCTTATAGAATTCAACTCTATAAGAAGAAATAATATTATAAATAATAATATTTATTTGGATTAAAAATATTAGATAAATATAGATAGATTTCATATTATCTTATGGTAAATATTTTTAGAAGCTTCATAGATGCATATTTGAATTTATACATATTTATAGTTGATTGGTAGATTAGAAACCTAGCCAACAAGTTAGTCTTGTGTTGCATGTGTGAATAGCTTGTAATACAAGCTTACAATGTGGCATGCATATAGAAAACTTGCCTTGCAAGTTAAGACATATGTCTTACAAATTAGTCACGTATTAGAAGTCTTATATAATGTTGCCACATAGCTCATAGTTAGATAGTATATATGGAGGCAAGAGTGAAGCCTTCATCACTCTTATCTATGCCTTTCTAATTCTTGATCTTATTTCAAGGCTTTTTAGTCTTCTTATCTTAAATAATAACCATTTTAATTTAATATTATTCCATCTTTGAATGATTCTCCAATCTTTTTGAGTGACATAAGAGTGTATTGATCTTTTAATTTTTTGAGATTCATATCCTTGATACTTAATCATAATAGGCGAATTCATAGTCCAACATACCATAGCCATCTATATGATCTCTATTGATCTTTTAGCCTATTACAATGTGCATCTCACCACTAGGAACTTGCTACTTCGTAAAAATGAGCATCATGCATCTTTCATCTAGGGATGCTTGGACTAATTCAAAAGTAGATATAATTCTTGTTTTGAAATTCTTTTTAAAAATTCTTATTTAATTATTTGGTTATGAAGTCTTATCAAAAATATTCTTTAAAATCTTCTTAAATAGCTTGGTTGGTAAGTTATATTAGAAAACTTTATGAAAAAGCTTCTTCTAATGGCTTAAATAAAAAGACATAAGAAACATAGACCAAAAGCTTTAAACCATGCTTGTAATATATATATATATATATATATATATATATTTATATACACACATATATACACACATACATATATAAAAATAGAAAAAATCAATATTATTTTTAATATTTTTGAATTCTACTTTTTAATCTTATTTTTTAAAAATCTTTGCTATAATCATTTTATTACTGTATTTTATCCAAATTTTAACTTCTTTATATCTTTTAATTTTTTTTTATAAAATTATCTAATACAATTGAAGTTTTGAATTATGCCATTGAAATATAATATTTTTTTTAGAAAAATTGATAAATAGTTAAGTATTATTAATAATGGTAGTAATTATAGACAATATGATAGCATTTTTTTAGAAATATCATATATTCAAAAAGACATAATTTTCTTAAATTTTATTGATATAAATTAATTAAATATTTAAAAAAAAATTAGATTTTCATAATATGAAGTATTATAATGCATGATTTTCCTTTAATAAGAAAAAATTAAAATTAAAATATGAAATCAATACTTTTTTTTTCAAATTTTATTAAGTTTAAAGGAAGGAAAGATTTTAGGAATCTTAAAATTACTCTCTTTCCTTTCCTATTATATTTCACTATGAACCAAAGTGATTTCAAAATGTTTGGATTTTAATAAATTCTCAGTTTGTTTTTTGGTTTTGTTTTTGTTTTTTATTTTTACTTCTATTACATCCAAAATGAATACATAATCATTCTGTGAAGCCATATGATCAAATTTTGTGATTACATTAATATGTGGTTTAGTGCTGCGGTGAAACCTTAGATATGAGTAAAATCTAGCAGTTAGTCTTGAGGAAATTTAAAAACAAAATTAAAGAATTCAAGGCACTTAGTATATTGATTATCTGTTAATGAAATTGGGGCATTGGTTGAACATTGATTTTGGATGTACGTGGTCTTTATTTTAAAAGTCAGCATTTGCAATTAATAATATATTTTGGTTTAGTTTGATAGTGTATTTTAACACAATTATAGTGTGTAAGATATAACATACGTATAAGATGCTTCATATCTCCAAAAAGCATCAGATTTTTTTCGTTCCTTTGGAGTTTTTTAATTAATATATATATATATATATATCCTATTTCTAAAAATGTATATAAGTTTATTATATCAAAACAAAACAACAAAAAACTTTGAATAAACATGAAAAACCAATAAAACAATGATCTATCCACCCTGCTGACTGAATCAACACAACATGCTACCACATTATCAAGAGGTAACAAGCTGAATGTTCAAAGCGATCTTTATATGCATAAAAAACAAACACAAAGTTTTGCACAATTTCTACACCAAAAATGAACCAAACATCTTCAACAACGACTGACTTGCCATAGTGGCATTCTAACCAACACTCAAAACAACAATAACAATGACTTGGGAGAAATGACCACACTTTGCTACATACTTCCAATACGGAAACGAGACCCGGAAATGCCAAGCCCAGAATCATTGGTGTTGTGTAGTAGTTTCCTCCGTTTTTTATCCTGTTTTTTCTTCAAAACTGCGTTACTTCAACTTGTGGAGGGAGGGTCATGGGGGGTTGAAGGTTTACCAAATGCTCTGTAACTCATCCAAGCGTTTCATCTTGAGCTTCTTTTTTGTTGTTGTTGCAGGTGCTACTGCTGCTGAAGCTCCCGTTTCCTCTTTCGTCGCTGAACGATTACTGGATGGAGTCTGTACATGGAGAGACGATTACACACAGATACATCAACACAACTACTTCCTGAGTGTCGATGGAGCGGACACAACTGGGTGCCTGAGCTTGTTGCTGAACTGGAGCCTGCTCTTGCTTCAGAACCAGCTTCTGGCCAGGTCTCTGCTCCCATGGCTAGGTAAAACTAAACTTCATGAACGATTCTGTTTGAGCCAGCAACATCGTCCAGAGCTGGCACCGGTGGTGTGGGCTATGGCTCCTTCACAAGATCCAAGTCTTTGGACTCACAGATGGTGATTGCAGAGGGAGCATGATGGGAGTCGCACGCCTTTGCCGAGTTGGGTCGAGAGTTTCTGTGGGAATTGTACCGTAGTTTCTCGGTTTGAAGGGTTGCACCGAAAGAGACTCGAGCTGAGAAGTGTAATCTTTGCGGTGTTCTCAACTGGCTGGCATCCCCTGTAGAGTGATGTCACACCCCAAGTGAGCTTTGCTCAATCTCGCCCATGTGTTGGATCGGATGTTCGGTTACAGAAGGCCTATTATATAAACAATTGTTTGTCTCACGGTTCGTGAAGAGGCGCTCACCTTTAAGCTACATCTCTGCAAGTGACGTTCAATACGACCAGGTGTCATGCTCCTTCCACAATCCGAGCATGGTACTCTAGCCTTGGTATTGCTCTTTGGTGATAACAACACATAAACTTTGGATTTCGGTTTGACCGTGAACCTCGGATTGGCTACCGAATGTTCAACGTTTGCAAAGTGTTCATCTCTGTGTTGTTCGTTCACGAAGTCCATTGTAATTGCGTCCAGCAAATCCAAATAGATCCACTGAACCAGGTCACCTTTCGTAATTATCCACGAATCGATAACTGGTGGCGAGCCATCCTCATGTGGAGCATCCTTTGATTCATTATCCACAGGTTCACCACTGCTACCAATTTCCACTTCCAATGCATGCGCTAACTCATTGTCACTCTGCGGTTAGTGATTGAAACAGGGGAAGTAATCATCAGGTACAATTTTGAATAGGGTAAAATCTGGAGAAATCAATATAAAAATAATGTTAGGCTGAATAATCAACGACCGGGTGTTGCATGAACATTACCCGTTTGAGGTGTTCTGGAGTCGCTGTGTCATCGGCCAGTGATTCAATTGCCTGCTCTTCAGCGGCCTGCACTACAAAGAAGCATACACAAGTTGAAACTCACATCTAGGTCATGATTGTAAGAGGCCACGAATGCAATGCTCAAGTTTTCAAGACCTGAATTTCGCAAGACCACTTCCAAAATATAAACAGAAAGCTCAAATGGAAAACAACAATGTTAGGAACTTCTCAACTTCAAAACGTGCCAAAAACCACTCTTACACGTAGACTGCACGTAAAACCTGTGGTTTGCGCTTACCCTAAAAGGCATGCTGAAGGTTTAGTATTAAAGCATTGACGTATAAACACCCGAGAGACAACGAAAATGATTTAAGGATAGGCCTTGTTGTGCTGTTACCATACTGCTGACGCCCGGAAATAATCTTCTATAGACCTTAGAAAGGGTTCGGTGCAACATATATGGGTTTTCAATGAGCTCTATTTCAGACTAAGCAGCGTCTTCCCGAATGCGGTCTGATGCAAAAGCCTGACAGACTGCGGGTGTTTCTACCGTAGGATTAACTGCATGTGTTGGCTCAATGTTGGGCTGAATAGGGTCTGTTGACTGTCCTTTCAGAACCAACTCTGGTGGAAAAGCCTTATTTACTGCTGGTGTTTGCTCTATGGGATTTCTTGCGTCATTACGGTTTATGTTGGGCTGAGAAGAGTCTGTTGACAGTTCTTGCAGAATCCAGGCTAGTGGGGGACTCGGGGGCGATTCCACCACAATATTTCCCACATCGATTCTCTCTGTGTTGCGCTGAGTGGGATCTGTCCAATGTTCTTGCGGAACCCAGTCTGGCTGCGAGGCTTGACGTTCTGCGGGTGATCCCACCCTGGAGCTTCCTGTTTCTGAAACCCTTGTATTTCTATGAGATTTTGCTTTGTATCGAGGTGTTAGTGACAGCAGTCTCTCTGTTGCGTTGCGTGCGGTTCTTCTTGGTTTGCTAGTGCTTGACCTCGCCCCGCTTGAACCAGATGATTCCAAAGAACTTGAAATTCTCCGTAAATTACTTGCCTCAGCTTGACTCTGAACCTGCACTCGGTAGACTATATGTTACATGCCGCAGTCATGCATGTCGCTTCGATCCAACAAGATAATGCTGTCTAGCGTTGGCAGCGGTGGTGCACATTGATACTGTCACGTTACTAGATATTGTGGATTACGCAAACCTTCACACTAGCTCCAGTTGTTATCGTGAATAATCAACATACAGAGCAATGAAGGTCGAAGGGGTGGGAAAATCAACATATTAGACTGAAAAATTGAACGTAGATGCGGAAGACTCGGGAGAATTACGCGCAACCCAACAGGAATAATCTCAGTTCAATTGCAATTCAGAAATATTCTTTAAGATCCTCAAATATAATGATCATATTTCTTCTGTACACTGATGTAATAAATGAGGATATTGTTGCAGTAACAGCTAGTGCGGAGGTTCTCACCTTATCCATACATTTCTTCAAATGGTAACTGAAATCATCAGCCCCAATGTTCTTGATCCCACAAATCGGACACCGAACTGTATCATTGGCCACCCGATTAGGTGAACCAAATTCGTTCACGTTACTCGGTAAGTCTCCTTCCGATTGTGCAGATGCTGATGAGTGCTTATCACTTTCATAGCTAATGTGGAAACCAAGTTTCGCTTCTCTGTATTCTTCTCTTGCAACGTCCATTATAGCCGAGCCCAGAAAATTTATCAACACGTCCTTAGCCGGGTTTTTTTCGGAAATTATCTCTAAATCATCATCTGGTGGTGAGTCATCCTCAGGGGATGGTGGATCATCTTTAGGCGGTGGATCGTCCTCAGGGGGTGGTGAATCATCTTCAGGCGGTGGATCGTCCTCAGGGGGTGAACCATCCTCAGGCGGTGAATCATCCTCAGGTGGTGAATCATCCTCAGGCGGATCCTCGTTTGATGAATCGTCGCTGCTGTATGATAGTGCCAACACTTGTGCTAAATCATCCTCCCGCTTCAGAAAAACAAAAGAGGAGGAAGCAGCCATTAGGAACTGTCATGAACAAAGTATTACTTATGGAAATTACTTCAAGAAAAAAAATTGCAAAAGTAGGTGGATTAGCGACCAGGACTTCATTGGGCATTACCTGCGAATCGTGTTCTTGAGATGCTGTCTCATCAGGCAGTGATTCCTTACACCGACCTTCCTCAAACTGAGATTTCTCTAACTGAGCTTCCTCAAACTGAGCTTCCTTAGGCTGTATAAAAAAATAATCAAAATAAAAAAAAAAACGTAAATAAAAATATCAACATGAATCCAAATCGTGATTGTAAATGTGAGGGATTAGTCTTCAATATCTTCCCACCAGTACTGCCTTGAGTCACCGTACCAGGAAGATGTGTGAGGATACTCGGCAGCTGATCAATTTAGAGATGCTTCTTCACCACATCGTATCTAACCCCACCTACTTCAAATTTTCGGGTGAATTACCTCTTTTCCTGATTTTGGCGCAGTAGATCAGAGAAAGAAGAAAGTCAAAAGCACGTACTAGTTCGTCAGAACTTGAACTCATCTCGCTAGAGTCAGGTGATGGGGCGCTTTCGTCAGCTATCATCTTGCCTCGCTCCTGAGATTGTTGCTGCTTTTGCTTCTGACATTGCGTCCCGCATGCTGTCTGTTCCGAGGCGTCATATAAGCTACATTTCATGTTAAATATCTTTGTCCAAAGAGCTTTGTCCAGAGATGATAACGATACAATAATGATCTCACCTCAAGAGCAACATTCCATGCTTACGATTCCCAACATGCTCATCATCGTACATCCCTTAGTTTTGAATACTACTAAGGAAGCGTTGCCCAAGAAACGATACAGATAGTATGATGGTAAACGGAAGGATCTAAAAAGAAAATGTGATTCCTACTGTTGCTTTTGTGGTCTTCACATCGGCCATACATTCCTCCAAATGAGCAGCAAAGATCCCAGCCTCCATTTGCTTTTCACAAACTGGACATTCAACCGTAGCACCGGCACCTGGATCTGACGAACCAAATACGTCAGTTTTTTTTGTAGTATTGGCAAACGGGTCTGATGATCCAACCGTATCGACTCCAAATGAGTCGATTGTTAGTTCTGAAAAAGCTACTGGATGGTCACCACGCTCATAGCGCCTGTCGAAACCAAGTTTCGCTGCTCTGTGCTCTTCAGATGCGACATCTATTATAATAGAGTCCAACAAATCTGAAAACTCCTCAAAGGCCCCATCATGGTTGGAAAAGAACCGCTTCATTTGTTCTTGAAGTGATACCTGGCGGGCCCACATGTGAGCGGCCCTTTCTTCCGAGGCCTGTATCATGGAATATACATACCAGTTTAGATCGATCAGGAAGTATATGAAAGCGGGGGGTCGTGATTCAGATGCTCAAACATGTTAAATTTGATACCGATCACCACTTGAGAAGCGTTAACAAATACACACACACTGACATGTATGTGTATATATATTTACATATTCAAAGGAGAATATTCATGTGAAGAATCGCTTTGCGATTTGGACGGACCCCCACTCCTGATCGAATTCGGGGATGTACTGCAAATATTCTAGTCTCCTCAAATGATATTCTGACTGTAGAAAATGAACATAAAAAAATAAAACTAAAATAAAACTAAAATAAAATAAAACTGCAGATAGGGGAAAAAGTTTTGAATGCTTATTCGTTACCAAAAAGCTCTTGATGTTGTCTTTAGCCCATCCGTGTTCACCCACTCGTCGAGGTCGGTACAGTAACCAATTCGGAACCGGTATTGGTGTAAGATCCTCACGCGGTGGACTGTCAGGATCAATACCTGGCGGTACTCCCATGACTTCGGGAATTGGCGGCATTCCCCTGACTTGCAAATTCGGTTGCGGCATTCTTATGACTAGCATATTTGGTAGCATCATTCCCCCACCTTGCACATTTGGTTGAACTCCTACGACGGGCGCATTGGGTGGCGGTATTCTCCAACCTTGCACATTCGGCGGTGGTATTCCTGCTACTTGAGCAACCGGTGGAAGCATAACCCCGGCTTGCAGGTTCGGTGCTGGCCTTCCCACCATGTGAACATTCGGTGGTCGCATTACTCCACCTCGTATGTTAGCAGGTGTCATTCCAATTCCTTGTCGATTTGGTGGTGGTATCCTCCCTTTTCGCATACCTCGTGGTCTGCCCTTAGGTTCTCGGCTGTCTTTCGTCGACCTCGACATTGTAGATGTCCCTTCTGCGCACATGTTCAAAGTGGGTGATACATTGTTTAATCAAACCTACCAGTGAAAATTGCTGGTGACGAATATCAAGTTAGGACACTGCCTTACACCGCTATCGAAATGCACAGATGCTTGTCGCATGTTGAAAATTGGTACCCAGGTAACCCAATGCTAAGTAGACACTGGATCTTCATGGCACCTGCCTCAATTGAACTTGGACGGAGGGCCCGCAAACCCACTTCAGACAATTCCTCCACAAATCAGGAACTCGCAGGTTTTAACAAGAGCATTAGGTGATTCAGAGTACTCTATTTGCGCGACTTAATTTCTCAAGATCCTGTATCTGCGGCTCTCCGATTCTTTTCCTCATCCCCTAACTGTATGCTGCAGTTCAAAGTGCACGAGAAGCCTAAGAACTGAGCGTGACCTAGAAAAGCATGCTTCCTCATCCCAACCCAAAGAAGAAATATGAAGCTGCGGAACTAAGACCACAAGATGTCGAATCAAATCAAATCAAATTTGGAAGGCGATACCGATCACAAGCGAGACCATAAAGCCCACATCACTCAAATCCCACCTCCGTGTAACCTCTAGCACCAAATGAGTGGACTCTTCTTGCGGTTAATGCAACCAGAATCTACAATTTAATACAATATTTCGCTGAAAGAGTCCCTCATTACAACGCTTCCATGCATCGGTACGTGGGATAAAGGAAGAAGAATAAATGTCCACCAAACACCGCCATAGACATCCTGCATTGGAAGCCACGCTCTAGATTCTCTTCAGTATCCCGTTACCTCAGTGTTAACATCACCGAGACACCGAGCTGCGGCTGGATGTATCTCTACATTTCGATGCCAACACGCAAACCGAAGCACTGATTGAGAAGCTTCTGCAAGTTAGCAGGATACAAATCATCCAACGCTTCAAGGCCTCGAGACACTAAATTGCATTGTCATCCTACGACCAGATGATTGCATCCGCAGAGGACGAACGCAAGATGCCTTTCAGAAGCCCTGATCGGGACCAGTCGTTGCAAAATCCCAGAGAATTGGCTACCGAGATTATAGTGATTGAGGATACGTGAGCAAAGCCCACAAACGTCAATTGTGTTTACGCTATGAAATCAGCACATGAGAAGCAAGCGGGGACTCTGAGGTTGCCGCTGCTGCACCTTAACATGGCCATGGCGTCATTCGAATTGTGTCAAGCGAGCTCCAGAACCGATTCTTCATTGCAGAAACCTTTCATAGGGTGTCAAAAATAGTAGCAGTCCTGGTGGTTCAGAACTTCTTATCCTTGTATTTCGATCGTTGAAAATTCTGACTAAGTAACACCCCTCCTTCCACAGATCTACCGCAGGTGAGAGGCAGCGACTACAATTCTGACCATCTACCAAGTCTCAAGCATCGTCATAATCGCCGTCTGTGAGGACGGATTTGTAACAAATACACGCGCAGAAACTGAGATCCTCGAGGTTGAATTCACTGTATATGTTTACCCATCTAGCAAAGCTAAGGACCCAGCGAGCAGCTCCTCAGCGAATTCGCTCCGAACGCTAGTTTTGACGCAAGCAAACAAGACGAACAGATCCATGAGATAGCAATCAGAAAGAGACGACACAAGTCTATCCCATGCTCATGTGCGACGTGAAACTTGCCCGTGTGAATGCGTTGAAATCTGGACATGTTCCACTGTGAATTCGTCAGAATCTGAACATGTTCCAGTGTGAATGCAGAGATGGTTTCAATGTTTTGAAGGGATAATGTACTTTTGATTATTTTTAACTGTCGGTTAATGACTTCAGTACTGTAGATGTTGAGACTTGCTTTGAGGCTCAGATTGAGACCTGTTTTAAGCGCACTATATGATGCATCAGAAGATCCTTGTATATTTCTGGATTACTCGTGTCAAATGTCGGAAAGAGTATCAGACAGGTTAAATTAAGAATTGCGCGTTCAATCAATCCAGATAATCAATAATCAGCTCTTTTGAGATAAGTCATACAATTAATAGAGGTTGTGTAGAACTGTGACTCATCTTACATCGAGTTGAAATCAGTAGAACAATACTATCTCAAAAAGGAAGTGTAGAAATCATGGGAATACTCTCAACTGTATACTTGCTGATCACACCATTTGATGTGCTATCCTGATGACCTGTTTTGGTTGCAATCTCTGTATTTAGAGAGAAAGCTGAAATGGGTCCTATGGTCCTATCTACAAAAAAATGACGTTGGGTCCGGCCAGACTGAAAAGTAACATCTTATTTTCTTCTCATTTTCAAAAGCTTGAGAGCAAGGGCCTCTTTTTCAGCTAATGACAACTCCTGAACATCAGAGGGATGATCTTCACTGGAGTCCCTCTTTCGACCTACGCGTCTTGCTTTCGGCTTCTGTGATGGCGCATCTGAGTCACTACCATTTCTGAAACTATCTTCACCATCACTGCCACTCTCTTCATTCTCCTCGTTTGCTGCTCGCCTGTATTTTCTCCTCTGTTTTTCTTTGATATTCTCACCGTCGCTCGCATCACTAGTATCCCCACCACTGTCTGCAACTTCATCGTCATCCTCATCCTCATCCGATACAGCACGCAGTTTTTGCTTCATTTTCGTTCTCTTCTCTCGTAGCCTTTGTTTCTCTTGAAGACGATCTTCCTTGTCTCTTTGTTTCATCTCCATTTTCAGATGTTTGTACCGTTCATTCGCTGCTTCCACAACTTCATTACTCACACCTGAACATGAAAGACAGCATTAACAACAAAAAGTATAATACTCGAGGCGTATAATCCGCAAGGTCCTAACGCAAAAAGAATGATAAAAAAGGCTGAAAGAAAATAATATAAAAATAAATACCTGGTGGGGCGCTGAGTACTTCTTTGCTTTGTCTAGCAAGAGCTTCTAAGGGAGGCAAAGCAACACCCTCATCGTCAAACACCATGCGATGTGCTCCAGCCCTACTAGGATCTATCTTCAACTTATTCTTTTTCAAGATCTTGACACCCGAGCTGCAGGAACAAAAAACACCGTTTACTTCTTTGAGAACAATTCCAAGCGTATTACTGTTACCTTTGTCGGCGAATACGCAAATGAATGTACTAGTAATAACGAGTGTTTTGAAAAACTCCTACGACGGGAACGGCATCTGCACTGAATTACGTCCCACCTTTTCATTTTCATTGCTTTGCCCTCTACTTCTTCAGCGTCTGATTTAGGTTTTTTCTTTGTCAGGAACTCGTCCGCCTCTCCCTGCTCTCTTGGTCTTTTCTTAGTCAAAAACTCGTCAGCGTCACTGTTGTCCTCACCATCACTCTCATCATCGTCATGTGCTCTAATTTTGTCAAATGCAGAAGAGAGAACGTCATTGTTTTTCCGGGCAAAAAGTCGATCCAATTTGTTTTTCTTCTTCGCTGTAAGACCATTTGTCTCCTTAGTTGTCTCTTCTTTGTCATCTAAAGTGGTCATAGGTTCAGCCTCATCTTCCCCATCATTTTCTTCGTCGGTTCCTCCACCAACATCCTGGACAAAACTTTGGTCTGTTAATTGAGATACCATGGACAACGAATCAACATAGTGCATAACAAAGATACAAAACAACTGTTCTTACAGCGAAATTACTCCCTATACTGCACTATTGATAAAATGAATGCGAATAAAGAAAGGTAAGGAGGCGATAGAGGCGAGAGATAAACAGAGGTAAACAAAGAAACTGCCAACTATCTTCTGCATATCCAGCCATGGAACTTGGCCAGCAAAGTGAGTAGTTACCTGCTCTGAGCCTTGAATATTCTTGCCACCCTTCACCCCTCTCTTCAGGAAACGGATGCGCGGCGTTGTGGGCAATCCCAATGATGCGGCATACTCGGCATGTGGAAGTTGAGTTACATCAAAAATTGACTTATCTGCACGTACATGTATACCGCGGAGATATGTTGTAAATGCTCGTTGAGCCATGTACTTCAAATCTGGATCTTTTGATAGTAATCCGGCGAGAGCCCCTGATACAGGTTGAACCTTTTCCTTGTTTGCCTGTCATGTTCACAACGCAGCTCTCAACGCAAGTAAAAAAGATAATCCCATTAAAGCATGCACAAGCACGAAATGAAATGCAAGAATTTAAGCTAAAAATGTTAAGGCTTTGCTAAGGCAAAAAAATTAACAGCTTCACAGATCCTTTCAAACAAATATCTATTAAAAGCTATTAGAAGTACGTAAATGATAAGTAGCCCAACCTTGATCAATCTCACAGGAATCTTCGCCGCCTCCAATGCAGCCAGCATAGGCTCCTCTGACGGTGCAAGGAAGAGAAGAGAATGGCCAGATGCAGTGTAACGGGCAGTACGCCCCACTCTGTGAATGTAAGTGGCCACGTCTTCAGGGCAATCTACCTGTTTAGGCATGTTATTTGATTAGGAGACGGGCCATGTATAAAGATACTTATTAAATGCTTAAATGAAAGCAGACATTTGTCGCATAAGAAAGATCTATAGAGACGCGAATCATACCAGGAAAATTGAGGTTATGATGAAATACAACTACCAAATAATTCAACGGTTACCTGTAGGACCCAATCAACAGTTGGAAAGTCCAATCCTCGTGCTGCGACATCAGTAGCAAAGAGGAGTGCGTGCTTAGATTCACAATATTTGTAAAAAGTGGCCATTCTTGCCATTTGTTTCATGCGCCCATGCAAACAGGCCAAAGGTATACCAGGCCGAAGTCGTCTAAATGCTTCATGTACAAACTTCACCTGCTCAACACAGCAAAGCACGTAAGCGTCGCATGTAATCTGTGGATATAATGCGTCCGATAGTTGCAGCTAGAGAATAGGACAAACGCACAATGAAGTCACTAGGTGCACCATCTACCTGTTTGCAACTAGATAGAAAGACGAGCATCTTAGTTTGAAGATGTGTCTTTACAAAACTCCAGAGCATGTCCATCTTCTCATCCAAAGGGACGATCATAACAGTTTGTTGAAGCCTAGCTGGCGTAGCCGCTGCAGATTCTGCGTGAACTGCCAAAAATTCAGGATCTCGTAAGCTCAGACGAGCTAAATCTTTTACCGACTTTGTTTGTGTGGCGGAGAAAAGCATTGTCTGTCTCTCCTTAGGAAGTTGTCCCAGTATAGCATTCAAAGTTCCAGAAAACCCCATGTCCAAGATGCGATCTGCCTCATCGAGCACCAGCACCTATTCCACATGACCGCAAGAAACACACCTTGGCTTCAGCTGAACCGTAAGAGAAGCTTAGCTTCTTTAGATGAATATTATGAAAACTTGTCAGCAAGCCAGATTATTAATTAAACAAAATTGCAGTATCCAAGGAGCAGTACCCTGCAACTAGTGAAAAAATCGAGACTTTGTGTCCTTCTACCAACTCACCTGAAGTTGTGAGCAGTCGAAGTTCGGTGTCTCGTCCATGTGTTGCAACAGCCGGCCAGGGGTACAAACCAATATGTTCAGGTTCATTACAGTTTCTTTCTCAGTGTCCACTCCCTTTCGCCCTCCTATAAGCAGCCCTGCACTAATTGAATGGTGTTTGCCGACTTTTCGAAGCTCATCGAAAATTTGACCTGCAAGTTCTCGTGTGGGAGAAATGATGATGGCACCAACTCCATCCACAGCACCCCACTTCAATCGATACAGCTTCTCAACTACCTGCACGTCATAAAACACCTCAATCCTGTGAACACGAGTAAAGCCTGTAACTGCAAAAAAAAACTCTCTCTCTCTCTCTCTCTCACTCTCTCTCTCTCTCTCTCTCTCTCTCTCTCGCTTCAAAAGACACGCAAGCATCTGAAAGATATTTCGGTGGGGTGACAAATCTTTACATCACCTACTGTGAGAGGACCCAGCTCCGAAAACATGTCAAAAAGCTCGGAAGTAACAAGGGAAATAAAAGCCCACAGGAAAAAAAGAAACAAATTCAGCAAAACCATTCATATGATCGAATTCCGTCGATGAACAACCAAAACTATGGTGCTCACGCTCGAAAACCTCTCTAAAAACAACCACTCACTCCAGCAAAGCCCAAGTTACGGAAATTCTCGACTGCAAAACCCTGGGTACACTCGAGCTGAAATTTGAAACCTCACCGGCAGGAGAAAGGCCAACGTCTTGCCGCTGCCAGTCTTCGCTGCGCCAAGCACATCGTGCCCACAGAGCGCGTGGGGTATCGCCGCTCTCTGAATAGCAGTCATGTGCACAAACTTATGCTCCTTCAAACCCCTTTGCGTCCGGTCCGAGAGAGGCAACGCGGCGAAATCCTTGGCTCCGGCATACGGCTTCAGAGCATCCCCGTCCCCTGGCTCCCCTTTCTTCCCACTCTCATCCGATTCCTTGGCAATTGTGAACGCAAGAGGATTGGTGCCTGGCGCAGGCGCTCCTGCGGCGATTCGCGCCTCGAGGGATTGAATCTCCTCATCCTCGTCCACTCTCTTCCCCCTGAAATTTGCCCTGCGTGCCCTTCCCTTCCCGAGACATTTGCCCTTCATCCCTGGGGCCATTCCCAGAATCCGCAGTGCAACACAAAGACTACTTGCTCATTCTAAGCTTCCTCTACTCGAGAAGCAAATTTCCAATTCTGCCCATCACAAGGCACAAACCAAAGCTCCATGATGACCCGTCATCATCGTCGTCCTCCTTCTCAACGCCTGCAAGCGGCCTTAAACCCTAACCCTAATTCTGAAGCCCTCTGGCCGTTCTAAACCCCTTTTGCCCATGCCCACCAAACCACCCCCAACAGAACAGCCCAATAGAACAGAATTCCCATGTCAATTTTTGATGCTTAATCGTTGTCTACATTTGCATTCCGAATGTCACATCTGTAGAATGATAGATTTTGTATTTAATACATATATACATGTATATATATATATATATATATACTTTTGTTGATCATTAAAAGTATGCTCACATAGGTGTATATGAGTATTTAGGAATCAAATTGATTTACAGTTTCTGATTTAGAAATTCATGCCCTCATTTCTTGAAATTATTTCTTATAATTTTTTTTGGAATACTATTATTCATGGCATGTTTTATGTGAATTTATAAATACGGTTTAAACCAAACACATATATATATATATATACATACATATATATATATATATATATATATATATATGTATAAACTTTGGTATGAATGTTTTTAGTCATACTTTTATCAAAGTCATAAATTTATACTATTGTTGGTAACTGAGTATTTCAAAACATCTAATTTTGTATGATAACCAAATACTTTAAAAATAAAATCTCAAAATATATTAAGTTTTCAAAAAATATGAATAAAAACAAAAAAAAAAAAAAAAAAAAAAAAAAAAGTAAATTTTCTTATTTATCTGAATACTATATGTATGTATACATATTTATTGATAACTTAAATTTTTATCAAGACTAAAACCATATGAAATCACTACAATATATTTTTTATGAAAAATCAACTTGCAGCATTGCTCTTAATTTTAAGATTGCTATGAGTACAAACATGTGCACTTGGAGCAGTAGCATAAAAATGCATTTTCTATTTATTGTTCAACTCATTCTGCATCTTTAGTCTTTGAAATACTTTGATTTAAATTATTTATTTTTAATGTTAGTTTAAAATTGTGCCAATGATATTTTTAAGCAGAAACAACAAAAATAATTGTAAGGTGAGCCAGCATTTTTATTTTTTTTCCTCAGAAAAATCCAAAGCAATTATGCCTGAGCATAAGAATGGCACTCCATTTGTCAAACGTGTTTTTTCATATTAAAATTGCATATATACACATACACATATGACTTATATTGAATACAAAATAACATGCTTCTTAAATATAAAGAAGTAATGGTTACTATAAAATCAAAATGCCAAACTTATGAACCTACTTTACACTTTTAAAATTAAGTACATATTCTGTTTGAAGTACTGATTAATTTTTTTACACATAGAATTTAACAGTTGGAACAAACATTTTGATAACATGTTTACTAACAAACCTCATTGAGCACATATGTTTGATTTTAAAGCAAATGATTTATTTTAAAAATAAAAGATGGATCACTCCAAGTTTTGGTGGATCATAAAAATGTGGATCATAAAAATGTTATAAAAACATTGTTAAAGTAAAGGTTGTTTTTATTTAGTTTTTCTTCAATCCAACATGAAAATATCCTATATAATTTATAGAAAGAGTGACCACAAATAAGACACAATTGCAAAGCAAGATGATGTCTTAATAGCATACAAATATTCATACTATCTTTTGATGCAAAATTTTAAATTTTAAAGACTTTATTACATTTTTAAAATAGCTTTCTTACAAAAAAAATATTAAGTGATTTAATTCACTAACAATAACAAGATGATGTAAGGCCATTAAAAACACATATTCAAATAATAATATTATAATAAAAAATAATCTTTCAAACTCTTAAATACAAATAAAGTTAATGTATTTAATATTTATGTACGATTAAAATATGAATTTTTTACAAACATGCAAATTTATATTAGTAATTACTTATATTAAAGGAGTTAGATGGAAGTAAGTAGAAGTAAGTAAATTCTATATCTTATAGAAAAGCTTTTTAGAAGTTTTATAGATGCTAATTGATTTTCCAAGTGTTGGTAGTTTGAAAAACTTTGGTACATATTGCACATGTTAGTCATTTGTCATACAAGTTCTCCATGTAGCACATATGTTGAAAACTTGTATCATAAGTTGGACACGTATTGAATGACCTAAAGAATGTTTAATTAGATAGTAAATATGTAAATAGTACATAGCTCTCTAATTAGATAGTAAATATGGATACAAGAGTGATGCATTCTTTACTCTTATCAAAGTTTTTCTTCTTTCTTAGTCTTCTTTTATTTGGCAATAGTCATTATAGTTTCTATCTTATAACTAATTTTAATTTGTTTACTTCCTCTTTTTAAATATCGCAAGAGTATAATACTTTTGTAGAGTTTTGTTATAATTCATGTTATTGACAAGAGTGTTAATTTGTTATACTTTTTTTTTAAAAAAAGTAAAAAGAATATTCTACTTTTTTGTTGTATTTTAAAGATTGTAAACTTCTCACTTTTAAATCAATATTTTTTGTCTTATAACATTCATTCTTTTTTCAAAGAGAGTAAAATATCTTTCTTTATAGGGATTTTTATTTAATATTAGATATTGAAAATTATCCTTCTTTAATTTTATTTATAGATTTTTTAAAGTTTTTTTTATTAAAGAAAAAAAAATTATGGAAAGAAAAAATTATGGATACTAAATGAAAGAAAAAATTATGCATACTAAATTATGGATACTAGATGAAAGAAAAAATTATGGATACTAAATTTGGATACTAGATGAAATTAAAAATTATGGATACTAGATGAAAGAAAAAATTATGGATACTAAATTTGGTAGAAGTAAAAATAGATTTGCAACTATTACTAATCTTCATGATCTTGTCAATATTTTTAGAGCAAAGATTTTATATATTAACAATGTCAATTATAAAATACTATTTTTATGCCTATTGGAAAAGTCAACAATGAAATCTAATATCTAAGAAAAGAAGTTGGACAATTGAAAGAAGCAAGTATATCAACTTTATAATTAAATCCAGATATTTTTACTATTGCAATTATAAGAGAGATATATAATAAAATAATATTTATTTAGGCAAACATCTATGTAAATTAATATAATATGTAGTAAATTTTTTATTGAATATAAAAGACTCAACATTGTCAAAGAAGATTTTATTTATATTGTAAAAAACCTAAGCATACTTTTCAACATTATCTAAAGAAGCAATGCAACTGTAAAATAAATAGCATGGATGTCAAAAAAGATAATGTGTCAAAAAACAAGTTTCTTCAATTATAATAACAACCATGTAATTGGAATCATTTGCAATATCTATTCAAATCTTTCACCTTTTTTGTAATAGATATTTTTTTTAGGACCTAAAAACTACAAAGTCTCTACATTGTTAGATTTAAAAGCTTTAATATATATATTTTTAGATGAATACTTTGTTAAAAAAACATAAAATATTTTTAAGAAAGAAAAATAAGCTTGTACATATAAAAGTTATAGATGGTTTTTATTTGTCTTTAGAAAGTGCTATCTAAAAAATCATTCTTATATATATAGCAATACATGAATATAATAGCTTAGTAATATTTAATGTTATTAGATCCAATCTTTTTAATCCAATCATTTTAAAAATATATAATCCTTGGATAGATTGAATATCTTATAATATTAATTTTTTTCATGGAATAATTGAGACTTTTGCTAATAAGTGGAAATTCATAAGTCTAATATGACCAAACATTTATTTATAGTTCCAATGGCTTTTATACATGCTACAAAAAAATGTTGTCTTTTGTTATATATGCCACATTCATTTCTAATATTGAAAAGACTTAAAGCAACATTCTAAGCTAGTATAAAGCTTATCAAGATGTTTTTAAGAAATAGATTTCACATACTCTTCTAAAGCATTATCCTTATGATTGCTCAATTGATCTTTAAAAAAGAGTTCAACTACCATTTTGACTAATCCATAATTTATTATAAAATAATTTGACTTCACTTAAGAAATATACTAATGAGAATGTGGCTAAGAACTTTAAATATCAATAATAATCTTCAATAGAAGCATCTATTTTATTTGTGAAGAAAAAAAAATGAATCACTACAAATGTACCTTGATTATTAAAGATTAAAAAAAATTCTTATTAATAATAGGTACCTCCTATCTTTAATCTCAATATTTATTAAATAAATAAATAAATAAATAAATATACAATAAATACATAATATGATATATTTAAAAAATAAAATTAAAAATTAAAAATTAAATGAAAGACTTTATTTTGAACTATGTATAGGCATCTTGAATGTAATATTATGTCTTTTAGATTCACAAATATGCCAAATGATTTTTAATGTCTCATGAATAATATACTTTTAAGAATTATTAGATGATTTTATCATTTTATATCTAAAAAATATTTTAAACTATTCTAAGAATACAAAAAAGAATAATTTTTTTTATTTATTATGTGTTACAAAAACTTAGAAATGAAAGATTATATGCTAAGATTTAAAATGTATATATATTTTATACAACTCAAATTAATTTATTAAAATATATTATTTTAAATAGCAATCTTATAATAGATCCTAAGAAAGTTCAAATTATCATAGATTGGAAGGTTCTAAGAAAAATAAGTGTCAAAGACATAAATCACAAATAATAAAAATCTCAATACATTCTTGTGTCACTCAAAAAAAATAAACATTCTCTCAAAAATAATATAATATTAAAACTAGAATAGCTATTGCTAAAGGCAAGAAGACTAAAGACTCTTGAAATTAGATTAAAAAAAAGAGTTGTTAAAAAGAATCATAAGGGCTTTATTCTTACTTCTATATATATATATATATATATATATATATATATATATATTATCTAACTAGAAGCTATGTGTCTAACTTGCAAAAATAAATTTCTACATGTACACCACATGGCCAACTTGTACCACAAGTTGCCAACATGTATAATGTGTAACCAACATGTTAGTCCACTTTTTAACCTATCAATCAACTATAAATATGTGTAAAGACAAATTTGCATCTTTGAAGCTTTTAAGAAGTCTTTCTATAAGATATTGTCAAATCTACTC